GAAATATATTTTGATGTACCCCCAAAAAAAACATACTTCGGACAATCTTTAATTTCAAATTAAAGATTAATGATTCTTCTACGAAAACCAATAGTAAAAACGTATATGAATGCATTGCAATTACCAAAGAAATCTGAAGATCCAAACCTATGGGTATTGGTAGTAAACGGATGAAAAGTTTGAATTGATAATTTATAATTTTTTAATTATTGATAAATACATTATGTTCTAAACTTAATAATGAAACACGTATTTTTTATTTTATGAAGTTATTTTTCAATTTAATATTAAAAAAAAATATATTTATACTAATATTAATTTATTTAAGGTAATCCCATATTTTATATATTAACTATAAAGAGATATTTATAATACAATTTTCGATGAAATATTGAAATAATCTGAAATAAATTTGAATTAAGAAATAAAAAAAAATTAATTTTCCATAAAACATATGAGTATTTTTGTTGATAAAATAATAAAAATAATAAAATAAATACATAATAGTATATTATTTAATTAATAGTATTATTGTAATTATTTTTCGTTATCTGATATGTATTAATTTATTTGATATATAAGATTTGATTACAAAAATGGATGTATTCTCATATGATTCACGAAAGTCTGTATAAAGTTTTAGACTCCTAGAACTCCAATATATTTTACCTTAATTGTAACCATGAATAAAATGATACGAAAATCAAATTTATATTACCTATGATACATGTATACAATGGCGTAATTTTATAGTTTATAATGCAGTTTATAGTACTTACCTGTTTGTACCCATCGTATGTAGTAAAATCACGCCAAAGATAAATGATTTTAAAGAACAATGCAAAGTTTCTAACGATTCATTGTGGAAAACCCACTTCTACTATGTGTATCTACATTATTTATTCATTCTTTATATCGGTGTTTCCACCTATAATGCCATAAACAAAAACATACATAATTTATAATATACGTGTTCTACGTGAATAAATAAATTGTTCACGTCCAGTCATGTGTTTTCATGATGTTATCTATCATATAAATATTTTTCTCTTATATTAATAATATAACTATTACATATAATTACCCCCCCCCCCCCTCTATATGTAGTTAGCAAACGAACAGTTATTTACCATAATAATATATGTATATTATTTTTCCGTTAAATATTTTGATTATTTTATGTATACGAGAGTAGAAATTAAAATCAATAATTTGGGAAATAACTCTTCTGAACTTTAATGTTATATATGCTATTACTACCACCCGTAAATTATAAAATTTCTGATTAATGACACTATCATACGACCATTATAAACTTTAGTTATCGTCACATATTAAACAAATTATAAAAGGTGAAAAAAATGATAGATTTTCATATTGTTTTCTACGAGTGTTCAGTTATAATAATAATAATCTTAATTTGCGGAATAAAATTAGAATTACAATTCTTAAAATATAGTGTAATACAGTATGATGTATATACTACATAAGTATAATATTTATTAATTAACACATATATTTATAAATTATAATAAATAATTTCAAATTAAAACATAATATAATATAATACAGTTTAAATATATGAAATATATGATAATAAATAATAACAATGAGTTAAGTTATTAAGTCTAAGAATAATTAATATCAACCTATATGAATAAATAATACTAAAATACGTAATTTTAAACAATTATAACTGTAAAGAAAATTCCTTGAGATATAAATCGAAAAACATCAAGATATTTTCTATTGTTAACTAAGGAATATTATGACATAATATGATACTTATGAATTACCTCAATTCGTTTTTTTTTTACTAAAAATTTACTTATTTTGATAATAAATAAAAATTACTACCAGAATCGGTAGAAAATTATAATATTAATTTGTTATTTATCATAAATTTAGAATATGGTGTTTATGGAGCCAAATTTGTAAAAAAAAAAAAAAGTTATGATACGTAATCGTAGGACTTTAAGATACAATTTTTGGATAGATCGCTTGAATGTATAATATCAATACTGCAATTTTAAGTCAAAGAAATTGAATGTTTTACTTTGATCAATAATTATTATTTTAACCTACCATCCAAAGAACCAACAAAATCCAATTTATTACCAGCAACGTCCCTCAAAGTTGCAATTGAAATTAAAATACTTCTACTTAAGGTTAGGTTACCTAACGTCAGACATAAAAACAACAAAATTCACTAATCAACGTAAAACTAATAGGTACATTTATAGCTAAACTCAAAATCTAAAATACAAAATATCCTTCCAAGGCGGACCTCTCTACTCAAAATCGTTTTTCGTAAACTAATATGCTTTATCGGAGGTTGGTAAATCAATCCCCAAACAAAATTATCGTTTTTTTTTAAATCCATAAATACAAATATGCACTTATCACAGTTTCGTATAAAAATAAACGTATATAATTCACACTTAAATTATGATAAAATAAAGTTCTGAATATTTTTTTTTATTAAAAATTTTCTAGCGGTCTTTTAAAAATATGAAACAGAATATTTTTAGTTATGCATATTTACACACATATACATATGTATATTACACCTAGAGTTATCGATACGCCGATTCAGTCAGTCATAATATTTGAGATAATTTTCAGCAACATCAAATCGTACAATAATAATAGTATTAAATCGTTTTACACAAATCTGAATAGTTTGTTTTACATCATACATTCAAATACTTTTAATTTTATTAATACACTTAAAGAAATCCAATCAAATACACATATTCAAATGAGAAATAAAGAGAAAAATAAAAACTCAAAATATCATGTCTACGATAAAAAGAATATAATATCAAAAGGACATAATATATACGAGTAAAATTACAAAAAAAATTAAATTACTAGACATAATTTTATTAAGGTTGTATCATTTAAATATTTGCCAATTTAATATTGATAATATTAGATAATATTCTATACAGTATTATGTATCTATATAATATACGCAATAACTTTTTGTATAATACCGATAACTCCGCCTTTATAGCTATATACATAGTAGAAGGAAAAAATAAATCATTGAAAAAGTGTTGTAAAATAGAATTACCCGTTAAAAAAATGTTTACACATATGATAACGTTAAAAAAATAAGTGTAAATATTCTGATGGCACCATCTGTTCAATAAAATATAACTAAAACAATTTTACCGGACGAAGTCGTAAAGATAATATAAAATAAAAAGTTGTGACTAATTAATAATTTATATAATAAAAAAAATTAATAGTTAATTATTGTTTGTTATTCAATTTTTATTCAAAAACAATTTTTGGATGTTTGTAGCTTATGCTTATAGTATCAAAAACTAAAATACAAAATACCTGTGTTTATCATAAAAAAACATTCATACGAATTAAAAAAAAAAAAGTACAAACACCGATATACCAAACTGACTCGTGTGTACAATGTAGAAACCCTATCAATTCGGCGATATGAAATGTTATATTTTAAAACCAGTTGATTTTTAAATAAATGGTTTTTATGGTTAAATTACGACCAATGAACGATACTAGTTTTATTATTACTATTATTATTATTATTGACAACATTATTTATTATAGTTATTTACTTAGGTGTTATTTGAATTATTTATTATAAATTTACCTCATAAAATATTTTAGACAAGACTCAATTCATCACATTGTTTTTTTTTTAAAAGGGCGGAGGTCTTCGCTAATTTAAAAATAATAAAATAGGTTTCAATTTACCAAATCCGGTTTTATCATTAGATTCAAACTATTAATTAACAGGAACTATTTAACATATCCATTACGACAAACAGATACCATATAAACCGATTGCCATATAGGTAATTTTAGCACCCATAAACGTACTATTATCAAATGCAATCCAGTATTTTGTTCAAATTTGAAATTAGATACAATGGAACCTCGATAACTCGAAGAAATGCCTTGGCCCTTGCCTTAGAACATATTATGATATGTAAGATATATTTCCTTGATAATTCGAATTTCTCAATAAGTCAAAGTAATTCTAGTTGAATTTATCTAACTTAACGCCCATTGAGAAGAGGGCACCTCAGTGATATAATATTAAAACTGAAAAAATTATCAGAATACAATTTTAATATTCTATCCATTCTGTTGATTATTATTTATTATAGTAGGTATAAAATAATTTATAAAATGATAATATAAATATATATAATATATGTATATAAATAATCATTATTGTCTGTCACCTTTCGTAATCACTATTTATCTAAATTTAAATATTAATAACATCAGATAACGACTGACGCGCAACAAGATTCATTTCGATTAAAATCGAAATAGCTCAAAGAATGAATTTCTCAGAAATTATTAAAAATGTTGCATAATCAAAAGTAAGAAAAGTCTTTAACAAGGTTTAGGATCTTCTTCTTTATGTTAAAATGTATTTAAATAAATAACTAATTAATAATTATGATATGATGTGAATTTTTTGTTTGTTTATTTAAAGAAAATAATACAATCTGTATAAATGTAGATAAGACAATAAGCAAAAATTATGTTTTTAAATATGATTTGTTAATGTAGGTTAAAAAAAAAAAAAACCATCAAATGATGATATTCGAATTTCAATTAATTCAAATAAAACAAGTAATATTTATCCAAGGTGAGAAGCATATATTTTATTCATCAGCCGGCCAGGGCTCCAATGAATCTGTTGCCAGCACTGTATATAATTATTTACTGGGTATAAACGGTTATATTATATTCTCATAATATTTAAACTTATTTTAAGCAACTAATAATACCATTAATATATTTACACCGTTATATTATGATTTAAATAAAATTTAAATAAATAAATATGATATCGTGATTCGTGAACTACATCAATAAGTAAAAACTGAAGTGACACTTATACGTGAACACTGGAAACGTCTTATCAATGTTATCGATATCATTTTGGACATAATAAAATGTTATCTTCTTTTTGTTTTTTATGATAATATATCAAAGAATTAATGAAATTTAAAATTATATCCATGCTCTATGCCTCTATCTCTATGAAATAAATTAAATACAAATATAGTATTACTGTAATACTCTAGATTCTTATATCATTAAAAACTAGCGTGACTATATTTAATACCTACAAGTATATTACCTCTAAATAATAATTACTTTAACTTCATTGATTATAGTGGATGTTGGTAATCGACTGCTGAATTGACTGTTAGTACTGGCCAATATTTGAGTTACTCTAAAAAAAGCGAATTGACTAATTGAACTGATCAATACAAAATTAAATCATGTCATCTAAAGTTGAAAAAACAAAGAAACCATTCGATAAAAAAAAATGGAGAACAAAAAAATACAGCAATAAACAAAAATGTAAGCATAATATCAAAAGTATTAATCCAACATATAATATCTTATTTTTAATTATATACATAATACATACATAAGTCATTAAATATAATATGTAATTCCATATAATATAGAAGAATAACTAACTTAATGTTTATTATAGTTATATGTATAAAATAACTAGAAAAAACAATTTTTAATTCATAAATACTAGATATTCTTATTTTTATCTTCATGCTCAATTTTAACTTTTTACGCATAGTTAACTATTCTTTTTAAAATTAATATTATATAAGCATTTTAAATAGCGTACAATAAATGACAAAAGTTAAAATTTCTCTACTAATGTTATTAAAAGAATCTTAAAATTTACAGTTGTATATTATCTCAGAAATTGTGGAAAGAAGACAAAAGCATCTACCTACATAAAGACCTATTGAATTATTCCTAAGACAGTCTTTTCTGTATTTTGTTTATATTAATGTCATATATTTATTTTTTATGCATTGTTCAGTTCAAGAATGGGATGAGCGTCGCAAAAAGGCTGTGATTCGTGATTACTACAAAGAATTAAACAAATCTGATAATGAAAGATCTTTAGATACATTAAATGGTAAAGATATCGATCTTACTAAACAGCAAAAGAGGTAAAAAAAAAAACTCAATTATCTTATTGTTAAATGTTAAGGATAAACATATTAATTATATATATACTTACCAGTCTCTTTTTTATTAACTCTTTAAGTTCCTTGATGATATAAAAGGTTTTTTTTTTTTTTTTTGTATCCTGATTTATATTTTATTGATTACTGTTCATAGACATTCTATATCACACATCTAAACATTTAATTAATGGTTAGTTATCCACTCAAGATTTAACTACTTATATTGGCTTTCAAATTATTATTTGTATATGTTGTAAAAATATTTATAAACATAATGTTTTGTCTTCAGGCCAAATCCGTATAAAGAAGCACAAGAACGGTATAATCAAATCCAAGAGGAAAAAAAAACAAGACGCTTGGAAGCATTGAAAAAAAAAGAAGAAATTAAACAAGCATTAGAAGAATATAAACAAAAAAAGAAGTTTAAAAATAAAAAACTTGGAAAAAAAACAAAAAAAGGACAACCAGTTATGAAAGAAAGATTGGAACTATTATTAGAAAAAATACAAGCTAACATTAATACATAATTATTGTTTTTACTTTTATTTATAATTTTAAATAAAAAATACTTTAAAATTATGATATAGGTACTGTATTTTTCAACTTTAAAATTGTTTAAGACAAACAAACTTTTGACATTTATGATTGTTACACAATTTTAAAAATGAATTAATTCTATTTAAAATAAAGTACAAAAAGATATACGATTCTTAACAATACAAATTTATCCATCAGGTTTTTATATAGAATTATTTTTATGCTGTTAATTGTTCAAATGTATTCTTATTTCATTAAATATTCATAAACATATAAATAGTTTCCGATTTAACATTATATTGATTGAAATACAAATACAAAAAATATTTTAGAGTTTGAAGATAAGCTCAAAAGCAGTGTTATAAAACCTGGAAGCCCTTATACCAGCTTAATATTTTCAAGATAAAGTCTGTCATAATCAAAAATCAAATCATTTTATTTGTAAAATTGTGTAAAAGTACTCATTAACTATATACAAATACAATTTATTTTAAAAATTTTTATTTAATATGTATTTTTTGTTGATCCAAAGAATACAACTACTATATTACAACTATATTTGTAGAAGTATATTCTACTAAGTAATGTAAAACTATAATAATTTTCTATTAAAAACAGTTCATACATTTAGAGAACATTCAAGGTTATCGATAAAAAAAAATTTATGACAGACCATCTAACAACATATATCAATTTTCAACTCTTATCTAAGATTTAAGTCTTCATTTCTCAAAAGAATAATAAGAAAAGAGGTCAATTATATTTATTTTACCACTAAATCAAAAAACAAATTATTCCGCTCATTTTTGAATTACTTTAAAATTTTGTAAATTGGTTGCAGGATCATATCAGTTTATTTTACTATATTTGATACTTACTTTACATTTATTGATAGTTATATTTACTTAATTGCAATATAATAAATATTAATTGTTACCTAAATTCTATTAAGTTAAGAAAGAACCTCCAAGATGACCACTTAAGACCTTTCAATATAATTACCAAGTCAACTATCTATTTGGCTGCTGTGTAGTTAAGCCCTTAAATACAAGTCTGCCAAGAATTCTAAACGTGAATGGAGTATGTAATTGTATTTTAATTGACATATGTTTGTTGCTTTATAATTTTTTAACGAGACAAAATCTTAATACTTATCACTAATTTCCATACATTATAAATACAAAACCTGTATGTTATTAAATCATACCTAAAAATTTAATACTTAGAAAATAATTATTTTGAACACATTAAGTTAATTTATTTAGAGGTACTATGTTGTTAAATTATCTATTTAATATAACAAAATTAAATAAGATGAAAACAAAGGTACCATACATTAACCATAACTTTATCTAAGCAAATATAACAAAATACAATATAGACAAGTTACCAAATGATTGATATTCAGTATGCACAAAAATGCAAACATTGGGGGAATATAATTTTGATAAAATTTAGTTTCTGTACAATTAGATTAGTTAAAATTATAAGCATTAAATAACTGTATTTATGAATTCTATAACAATTAATTTTATAGCAGACACATTAAATGAACAAAAATAATCTTAACAAAAAACATATTATGGACCCAATAAACAAGTTAAAATTTCCTTATCCTGACATTGATAATCAGTCTTTTTTTATACATATTATTTTAGCCCGTGGTTCTTTTGTCATAAAGATCGACAATTGTACTAATAATAATTAATAAAATTGAATCCTTGAAATAAAAATTAAAAAAAAATCCAACATTGATAAATTGTAACTTAACCATAAAAATATTATATATTAAACCAAAATATGTTCATAAATTGTCATTTTTTTATTATTATTATTATATTTTCTGATCAATATAAACTTTAATAGATTTTAAAACATTTTATACAAACTGTTTACACATAAATTTAATTATTTTGAATTAGTTAATTCAAGCATGAAAAATATAAATTAATGTTATTGCTAACACAATAAACACCTCGGTTTTAAGGCAAAATTATTTCTAAACAATATAATGAACTAATATGAATTTTAAACATCAAGTAAATACAAAAATAACAGTAGGTAATTTTATTTTATACAGTCTTTATTATGATAAATAAAATTATTTAACGTAAAGACGAATTATAATCAAAATATCATAAAAACAGTTTGTGGATTGTGATATCCCTAAAAAAAAATTACAGTAAATGAAAAAATTAGCCTACAATAATTATGCGGTTCTTACTATGTGTAATGAGTTAACCTTTTGGTACATGGTGACAAAACTCAAAGGTTTTACCGATTTGTATAAAATGTAGGTATTCTTTTTAGAATAAAAAATACTTGCAATACACAAATTCTAACGTCTCTTAGGATAATGAAGGTTATCTCTTCTCCTACGGTCAGTCTTTTGAGACCGTTCAATCTCTGCAAGATGTTTGCGTCGTTGGTCTTCTTTCTCTGCAATCTGTTCCATAGAAAGAGGAGACCAATAAAGAGTTGGTGTAGTTTTAGTCTTTCGAAAAAGCTCATCTAAACTTTTTGTAGGAATACGTTCTGGTGTTTTGGATTTTGACTTCTTACGTTTATCATGAAGATCTTTTTCATCCTTCTTTAATTTTTTATCTTTTGTAGCATGAAGATCATCAGAAATTTTTCTTTTAATAGGTTTATCATCTTTTTCACCATTCATATCTTCCAACTTGCCTCTATCCCATTCGCGTAAAATAAAATTATTTTCTACATGTGTTCTAAGTTTTTCTACTTTAGATTCTTTTTGCTTATCTAATCGTTCTGGATGAGTTCCACTCAAAGCTTTATTTAATTCTTCTTTATTGGTAAAAACAACTTTTAAAAATTTGGGGTTAGTTGAAGGCCACTGGGAATCATTGAGTGCATATACAGTTTCAATGGCTTGATCTTCATTTTCATACTCTACAATACATTGAGATTTAATTGCATCTATCCAAAATCCATTAGACACAATTTTTCCAGTTCTTTGTAGCAAATCTCTTAGTTGACCAACTGTGAATGGCCTAACAAGATTTGTAATATGAATTACACTAGTAGTCGTTATACGTTTAACAGAAGATTTTTTTTTTGGCACTTCTTCGTATTTTTCTTCTGCTAATGACTTATCAGATTTATTATCATCATTATCTATAAGAGACTTCTCTTCTTCTTCTGGTGCTTCATAATCAACTGCTTCATGATCAATTAACATAGTATCATTAATATCCATAGCTTCTTCAATATCTTGTTCTTCCTCTGTATCTGTCCTTTGTATTTCTCCTTCTTCTGATCGATACTCACCATTATCAGCAACAGAATCTCCATTGGATTCTATTATAGTACCCAAAGTAAATGGACTTATCGTTATAGGTGTTCTTGTTTTACAAGAGCCCCATTTACGTTTAGGGTGGGAGGATAATGGTTTTGACATTTCATTTAATTCCTTTTCAACACCAACTTGTTTTAAATTGGGTATATCTGATGATAGAACTTTACAAGATTCCTCAATTGTTTTAGTTTCTTCACTATCTAATAGTTTAGATTCTTCTACTAGTTTAGATGCATCTTCATTAACTGGTTTGGGTTTTATTTCATTGACTGAATCAGTTTTATTAATATTAACTGTATTCAATTCTTCTTCATAAACTGGTTTAGATTCTTCATCAATTGGTTTTGGATCTTCATCATCAACTAAATCTGGTGATTCAACAGTTAATTGTACAATATCTTCCATTTGTTCTGAATCATTAGTATAATCCGGTTTATTGATCTCTTCTTCTATTGGGTTATTAGCTATTTTATTTATCTCAACATTTGATACTGTTTCTGAGACTTCAGATGTATTTGGTTCATCTACTATACTTTCAATAGATTCTGGTACAATATTCTGAATCTTTTCACTTACAGCTATTGGAATATCAATAACTTCTGAAATATTTACAGAATTTTCTTCTACAACAGGTTCTGAAGTATTACATTCATCAATGGATGGACGGACTGTAGAGTCTGGAAAATCTTTAGATGAATTCATAGGATTAATTGACTCTACCATAATAGCAGCAGGTTCTAAAACTTCTTCATGGATTTTGTTTTCTTCAACTTCAGTTACATTAGCTGCATCAATGAGTTTTTCATCATTAGTAGATGTATTTTCTACAATAGGCTCTTCATCAGGTTTTATAAATTCCGATGATATTTCAACATTGTCTACTTGGTCATTATTAATATTTTCTTGATTACATGATGATTCATTAGGAGGGATAACTTGCACTGAAAATTAAAATAAAACAGTTTAAAATTACTATCTTTTTAAAAACTAAAAAATCTAAATTAAATGAAGTAGTTAATTTATTAGTGAATAAATGATCTGTAAACATTAAGAATAACTTTAATATTAATATATGGATAATATTTATGAATTAAATTAAGATAAATGTTCAGAGCAATTTTTTAATTCAACATTATTATTAAATTAATAAAATATTAGGTACTTAAATTTTATTAAATATAAAAAAAAAAACAATTAAAATATTAAATACTAGCATTAATTTATGATGCAATATTAGTAAATAAAATGTACACACAATTCGAGTAGAAATCAAAACAAATGATTTACTAGCATGAAAAAAATTCTAAGTTTTTACTAATTATATTTGTTTTTAATCATAGAAAAATTCAGATTCTTACAATAAAAAATATAAACACTAAAAATATTTGTTTTATTGTTATTATTTTATAGTAGATAAATTGAAAGTAGAAATGTTTGTAACACTGTTACAATGTATTTAATAAATTTTCAATAATATGCATTTATATTAATTTTTATTGGATATTATTATATTTATTTATACCTTCAATGATTAAAAAATTAAGTAATTACATATTAGATGATTAATTACAATAATTAACTTCTAAACTGTTTAAACTGTTGGTAATCTTTACAATTGATATTATATTAAATATTTAAGTGCGATATAGAAAACATTTCTTGTTGGCTAATCTACAAGAAAAATATAAAAGTAATTTTTTAATTAAAAAAAAAAAAAAATTAAATGTTATTTCTACATTAATAATTACATAGTACCTAGATAGTAGATCTAAAACATACATTATAAAATCAATGAAAATTCTTAAATTAGATTAATATAAGTGTTATTGTAAGTATTTTTTAACATTACCTTGTTCATTAGAATCAACTATGTTTTGTTCACTTTCTTCAACAGCCATAGTACTACCAAACTGTTCTAAATAATTTGTAACGCTACCATCTAACGTAGATGGATTTGTTGAACTGCCAGCAGCTTCTTCTTTTTCTTTTCTTTCAGCTGAATATTTAGCTTCAGCAGCCTGCTCTCTTAGTAAATCCTTGGGCGAACGCCTCAAACTAATTTTTAACTTTTGAATATCGCCATCTGATCCATTGGAACATTCGACTTTCCACATACCAGTAGTATTCTCTTCACTGCAATCATTACTTTCTGGCTTTGGCAATTTTATTGTTAATGCAACTTTCCTTTCACTTTCATCAACTCTGCTAGAAGCTCGGGTTTTGCCAACTTTGGGGGGTGGCACATCTTCTGATGATGTTTCAGACGTAGAAGAATGACGTCTAGTACGACGCCTTGTCGTACGTTCACGTTTCGGCTTGCGACCGGTTCTTTTGCTCATTTTATGGTTTTAAAACAATATTTTTTGAAAGATTCACTATCATTTACCCACGAGCACAAGGGACATTATAAACATTCACAACATATATTTTCAAATAAAAAAAAATCACTGACAATACTTACTATAGTATAACGGTAAATTCATGTCCTTTATTTTACAGTGCAAAACTTACAAAAAGGTTTTTCTACACGTCGATCCATTTATACGAAGACTTAATGTAATTTATATGATGGAAATTAAAAAACGAATCAATAAGCACCAAATTTTTGTTGTACTCGAAATGAAACGGCGGCCATTTTAATCGTTTATCAACACAAACACATTTCATCGACATCAACTTTCTCCATTTTTTTTTTTTTTTTTTTTAATTCATACTTAAACAAACAAATTTTGTCAATAATAATTTATTAAATAGAACTTACTGTTTTTTTTTTTAAATAAAAATAAATTAAATATATTAAAATTAGATTTAATTATATTTTCTTGGTAAATATTGAAAAAATACATCACAATAATTTTATGATGTTAGCAGTTGGCAAACTTGTCAAAATAACATTTGATAACTGTAATCTACTATTGTCTATTCCATTGGTCAATGTATAACACGACTCGACTTTTTACTATTAAGCATAAATCACAATACCGATAATGTCTTAACTGTCCGTAACCCTATCAGAATTTAGAATCACTCGACACTCAATCAGTCATCAGATGTCTTGATTGTTTTTGGAATGAGGATAAAAAATAATTTTAAATTCATATTTTAATTAATTTCTGTAATTCAGTGCTTCAGTATGCAATAGTAACACATTCTTAATTAGTATTTACTTGTAATACTGATGTCTAAACAGTTTAAAAGTAGAAAATTTGAATTTGTAAATTGCTGTTCCTTTTAATTAATATTAAATTTAATTAGATAACAAAACTTTTATTTCAAACAAATAGGTATGTGATCTAATTATTTATAAATACATTTTAAACAAGACATTTTTTAATGAATCATATACCTGAATTATCTTAGTATACATATATTAATTGTCACACCCATAATAATAAAATCTATTTTAAAATTAAAATATTAACTGAATAGTTCACTAAAAAAAAAAAAGTTTTTAACACATTTATTATTTGATTAGTCTTCATCATCGGATTTTCTGTGGCAGTATTAATTTCTGGAAATAAGGCTTTTTTTTTTAATTCTTTACTTGTTCATAATATTAAGAAATAGAATTTAGATTTATATTGAGAATAGAAAAAATATATTTTAATTTAATAAATTATTATTTAATAAACAATATATTTAAATAAATCTTGTTGCATCTTACATCATAATAATAATATAAAAGCAAAAGTAAAATAAATACCTGTTATAAAAATTTAAATTAACTTGCTTAATTTATGCATGTTTTTATAATGAAATATAATTTTTCTTCCATTATATTTTTATAGTTCAATGTTTTCCACTTAATATAAATAACAAGTTATTTTATGTTCATTATAATTTAATATTAAATATTATGATTTATTTTCAATTTTTTGAATTATGTTTTAGATACATTAGTTTTTTATATTATTAGTAGTATAAAATTTTAATAAGAATTTATTTTCAATCTCTCTAAATCAATTTCCTTATTTTCAGAAGTATGCTTATCCAGCAAAATCTATTTGTGAGTGTCAAATAAACTGTAACTTATTAAATTATTGAAATATTGCTATAAATCATGAAGTTTAATAAGCAATTAGAAACGGTTTTACAAATTTTAAAAGAAAAAGCACAAAACAAGATTTCCGAATCTAATAGTTCACGGGCTGAATTATTTAACCGACTTGCAGTTTATCGTCCTGAATATGATAAAGTTGTTTCATGGTATGAACGAGTGACTGGTTTAAGTGAAGTTCGAGTAGCCCAAGATAGAGTGTTAGATTCTCAAAAGCAATTTATGAAAGCTCAAGATAGAAGAAGAGATGTATCTGTAGAACTAAGAACAATTCAAAACAAACTAAAAGACATACGAAATGAACTTCTAAATACCTCTAGAGCAGAAGATAGATACATTGAATTAGTAACACAAGAACATGCATTATTAAAACAAGAAAATTCAATCATTGATCGGGTTAATTATTGTGAAAAAGATGAAAGAGATAGTTTTATATTGCTATCTACCACCTTGAAAGACAGTCATGACCGAGAAAGAATACAAGCGGAAAGAACTAAATATGTATCTATTGTTGGCTCAATTCTTGGTACTATTATTGGTATAATTGGAAGTACTGTAATAAATGCATGGAAAATGAATGAATTCAAAAGAATGGTGTTAGATGCCAAATTGGATTCATCAAATTTAAATAAAAATGATCAAATAAAACATTTATTGTTACAAGTTCAAAAACAAAATAAAATGTTAAAAAATGTAGAGTTGAAGTTAAACTCAAATAATGTGACAAGTATCTTAGAGCCAGACTGGAAATATACTGGCCGAGATGTTATTATTCTAACAACTATTAATTGTACTATAGTTGCTTTATCAGCATATTTAGTATCAAAATTGTTTTAATCCATGATGTTTAAAATTTGGTTTTCATTATTGTTATTAGTTTTTATTTTGTAATAAATGTTTCCAATAATTGTTTTAAAAAAAGTATTGAGTTAATTAAGTGTTACCAAATTATTTTAGTTAATGACTAATGTACATAAATATTATTAATATGAGATAATAAAACAATTTGATAAACAAAATAATTTAAATTTGAATGTAACTTAAATTAAAATATACCTACTCTAATAAGAATATTACTCTGTTACTTAACCTCTAATCATAGTCATTAACACAAATAAGGTCTTGGGAGAACTTGGAATAACCAAATTTTCAGGCCAATTCTCCTCAGTTAAAAAGTTATTAACTACTAACTATCTACCTATTTAGCATTAATCATTTTTTTTTTTTTTTAAATATGGTGGAGGAAAATTAGGTTTAATTACGGCTATGATTATGTTAGAACAATAAGTTCAAGTACCTATATTTACCTACAGACTTAATAATTTAAATATAAAAAATTTAGAATTCAGACTATGATCCAAATAGCTTAACTATATTATAACATACCTACAGGTTGCTGATCATCTGTGAGCTTATAATAATTTTAAACCTTTAATCCAGTAAATTCATTAATTACAATTCTACTTAGATAAAATGTGTACACCTATTGTAAAATCTTAACATTATAATTTAGTTCTTAGTACTCTTAACATAATATATTACCTAAAACATATTATAGTAATATCAAACATTTTTATATTTTACATAGAAATGAAAAAATATTCAAAAATATTGGAAATTTAATTACCTACTCTATGTATATTTTAATATCTGCATGGAGCAAAACCCATAACACTATTGTACATTTAAAATTTAAAGTATAGAATAACCTCATTAATCATTAATTAAATTAAATTACCGTTTATCAGTCCCAATTAATCTAATGACGGTCTCCAACTTATTGAACACCTACAAATGTATAGTCAGCATATTATGAAAGAAAAAATTAATTGATAATGCTTTGCTTAATAAATTAATAACTTAAAAATAAAGAAAACCTTAAAATCAACTATTAATATTCACAGGTCAATGCCAATTGTAAAATTATGGAATAATATTTATATTTACAGATTAGATACCTATTTACTATATATACTGTATGGCTAAACTTTAATGATACTATTTCCTTTCATGAATTTTTTTTGGTGATCAAAATTATAATATTGTTATTCTTCAAATCTACATGAATAAAATATTTTTTTACAAAAATTCAAAGCAGGAATAAGTGGTAGCTTGAACTATTTTTCCAGTAAAACAAGAATATTTAAAAAAAAATACCAATCCTAACCTTACACCATCAATATAATTATTTCACTCAATGCAATTGGAAGGGGAGTCACTCCAAACATGATTTCAATGATTTCATGGAAAATGTATTCTTCTGCCAATAATCATTACACTTCATAAAAAATTGTTATAATTATGCAAATTTATGTGTATATATCTAGTATCTACCGATTTCTATTCTTAATTTTGTAGATTTCAATCATAATGAATGTACCAATTAATTTTACAATGACTGACATTTAAAAAAAATAGATTTTTTTAAATACTGATTTTTTGTAAAAATTTCCATTTTTCCTTAACAATGATGAGTGATAACTTATGTCACTTTGACTTTTGTATTAAGAGCTTGCTGCCACCTTCGATTGAAGTAATAGTAAAATATATTTACTATTTACTAATACAGAGTAGGGTGCACGAATAATATGCGAATGCGATTTATTATTTGTTTATAAGTATGACTCCGGAGTCCGGACTCGATAAATGATGGCATGACATCAATAGTTAATAAATACCTACCTATATAATATAATCTCCATTCCATTTGTCTAATTATACACAGTGAATCATCAAACATACTCATTCCTCCGATGATTTTCTTTGGTAACGAATATGAATATACCTATTTGAATTCTGATTTTTGAAATGTCAAGTAGATATTTATTTAAAAACAACATTTTATAATACTTAGATATTTCAAGCAATTTAAAAACTATATCTAGTGTACTTATCCTATGTACTATATAAATACATACTTCTTCCTTTTTATATTCATATTCATTACAATACTTTTCAAAATAGTAGAAAAATAAAAATAAACTATTATTTTTAACAACTTTAAAATTATTTTTATTTTAGTTTTACATAGATTAAGTTAGTACTTATTTATCTTAGCTCATAACACACGTCTCAGATACCAATAAAGTTCTGAGTTAATTTGTATTATTTTATTTACATTTGAATAATAATTAATAGGTAATAAGTATTATACTGTTTAAACTTAAAAAGCAAAATATTACCTGGGTATAGTAATAAAAAATTAAAACATAAAATATGCTTATATAATTGCACTATGAAATTTAATTTTAAGGTAATAACACAGACACGACATATAGTCTACAATATGATCTATAAGATTATAAGTATTTACTTAATTAAACGTATTTAATTATTTTTACCGTAAATTGTACAGTATTTACCATTATATACATCTACATAATTATACAATACGCAAAGTTCGAATTTAATAATTTGATTCAGTTCCTTTCATTGAACATGATTCCATGGCCGTCGAATTTGATACAGTCTGAAATATAATAGGTAAAACTGGTAAAAGCTGTTTCAATAATATTATAAAAAATAATTTATTTAAAAAGTTTAGTTTATAAAATGTAGAAACTGCATAATTCTCCAAGTATTTTGTGAAATGTATTAAAATTGCTATTAGATTTATAATGGCCAAAAGTTACTAGGTCCAATTTATTATTTTTATTTTTTTTTCTAGGTTGTAGGTATATATAAAACCATGGTTTATTTTCATGAGTAATTGTCATAATCAGAAAAATTAATACATTTAATTTAGTTATTTAATTTAACTTTAAATATCTACTATACAGCTGATAATAATTAAAAGTTAAAATACATCAATAATAAATGTATTAACTAACTTTATAAATAATCTTGTGAATAATATACGTAACGGTGAAAAGTTTCAAGTCCTTATGATTAATTATTTTTTTAATTACTCATCATAATGAATAACTAAAATCGTTAGAGAAAATATCGTTATTTTTTGTTTATATAAGCCTATACAATTTTGTCAAAATTAAAATTTCGTGTTTAAATATTATTAATTTATTAGAGATTCACAGTTATTAAAACTTATAATACTTGTATATTTAGATTTACTTGAACTAAAAAACTATCGAATTATTGTTTGTGGTGGTTTCTTAGAGACATTAGACATCCAATTTGTATATAGTTTGTACTTTATACATTATGTAGATGTAGGACAAGGTTATAGGTTTATATATAAATTGTATACCTATTCAAATACTTTGAACGTTTATCATTTAGGAATGAAATGTACGCATAAAAGAGTGTATACTCTTAAATTAAAAGGCTGAGTGCGACAAACAATTATTAGTAATTATACGCCTACCATATTAAAAATTTTAGTTGGTTCGTGCGGTATGTAAAAGACTATGAGAGGACGAATCTATTTTACATACTAAGTATAATTATTTATTTTTGTGTTTTATGGCATTTTTCTAAAAACAAAATTGATTTTGCTAAAAAGCACTGATAGAATTCGTGGTAATGTTAATTTAACTACCGTGGTATAGAAATATCTGCAGCAACAGCGCTGCTGCACAACCCCGTAGAAGAAAATCAATAAATTAAACAGCCCTACTCAAAATTCGCGTAATATCTCCGCTGTTTCTACTATACTTATACCATAGTTGTATTCCACATTAGTACGTCAACACTATAGCATTATAATTATACCTATCAGCGGCAGTTCGTATTTTTTACGATTTATTTAAATAATTTAGGTAATTTATTAAGTGTCTTCTATTTACTTATACCTCTTTCAAATCTATCTAGGTTAAATGTTTTCAAATATTTATTTTATTATTAATTTTTATTTATACTTATTTGAGATTTATCATATTCTATAGATTTTTCATAAAACCATCCGAAATGGAATTTAAATTTGATATAAAAGATCTAGCTGAAGAAGGAATTGTGAAAATTGATCATTCTTTAACACCACTTGGCTTCGAAGACGATGAAAAGTATGATTAAAAATCATGCATTTAAAACTATATTACCAGAAATATTGAACTATTATATTTTATTTCTAAATTATTTATATAAATAATAATTATAATTTTTACAGCTTACAAAAAAAAGTTGCAATGATTATTGACGAAATGGGTAAAGCATCTGCCAGAGCACAGGATTTAAAAATGCCTATAACAACAGCAGAAAAATTATCAAAATCTGATCATATAGTTTATTTATTGTCAGAACAAACAAATGAAGAGTATGTATTTTGTTCTCTTAGTAGATACTAGGTGCTTATAGTATCTAGTATAATATAATATATTAAGATAAATAAGGAAATATTTATTGCCTATCGCTATTGCCTACAATATACACTAATCAATAATTTCTAACATACATTTTTAGAACATTTGTTATTGTTGGTATTTTAAAAATGGGATGGAAAAAATTATATCTTTTTGATAAAAAGGGCTCTCGTTCTGAAGCCATGGTGTATTGTTTGCTTGATTTTTACATTCATGAAACTAGACAACGTCAAGGTTATGGGAATAAACTATTTGAACACATGTTAAAGGTACCTATTACAAATTAAAACTTAAATATTTTCTTTAGGTAGGTACCTACTTTTTACACATAATTTTAATAGCTCTTATATTTTAGGATAATGAGTTAGAAGCAAAACAATTAGCTATAGATAAACCATCAAAAAAAATGTTGCAATTCATGCAAAAACATTATTCACTCAAAAAGTTAGTAGATCAAGGAAATAATTTTGTTATATTTGAAGAGTTTTTTGATACTCCAGGTAATATATTACATGCTCAATAAACTATTATTACTATTATTGGTATTATTATGACTAGGTACTTATATCATATATTTTTTAACTATTTTTTCTATTATTATTTTAGGATTAACACAACTAAAAGATAAATTTGATAGGTAAGGAATTTTTTATTTAAAATATAAGATATTTGTAATATTGTTATTTTATTATTGTAGTTACTAATGATTTAATGATAAAATTTAAATCTATTACAGCAGAACATATCTAGGTATCTGTTTGTTAATTAATTTATTATTATTATAGTAATATACTAATATAATAAAATTAAAATAAACAATTATTGTTTTTGTTCTTTTATGTCACAGTACAAATGGATACAGAAACAAACCTATATATGGACGTCATGCTGCTAATAAACACAATGACTCCATGTCTGATGTATGGATAATTATTTATTTAAATACTTTATATTATACTATGAATTAATTAAAATATAACAAATATGAACAGACTTGTAAATACAAAATAAATGCATATTAAATTTAAATAGAGTTTGTAAAATAAGTTTAGTTATGATTTTATAAATATTTTTAAAAGGGAAAAGTGAATGATGTATTCTTGTTAATGGGACCAGAGACAACTACAAAAAAAAAAAAAAAAATGAGGGACATTTTTGAAAATTAGATATATATAATTTTAGATATCATACCAAACCACCAATTTTTTTATATTAATAGTGAGAATAATAAAAAAAAAAATCTCTGAATGTTTAAAAAATATCTGTGATATAAAACAACATCCCCTGTAAATTCCAAGGAGCGAAATTAATAATTCAGCAGTTGTGCAATGTGTGAATTCTGGTAAAATGAGAAGAAATTTTAACTAATGAAATTTAAGTATGCAAACAAAAGTATATTTAAATATAATAAATATTGAGTGTAATTTATTTTTATATCAGTATGTTTTTTACTAAAAAAAATGTTAATATTTATTTAATATTACCTAGATATTACATGGGGCTGGTAGTGCAACTAGATTGAATGACAAATACGTTGCTAATGCAGACATGTAAGTATCTAATACAGGTACCCGATTTTCATTTATATCCAATTTTTCTAGTTTTTCATTTACTGTTACATTTTGATGATTATTTAATTGCTCAACTTTTTTTGTTACATTTTTAATAGCATCAATAATAAATTCAAGGATAACAAACCAAACCTTGTCACAGTTCTTCCTTCAGAAAAAAATGTAAATGACACAATTAATGGGAAAAAAGGTGCTCCGCCTAAATTGGATCTTAAATTTTATCATTCACATTTGTGGTAAAACGCTTTTATAAATATCAGATATTTTATCAACAATTGCATTTTTAACAGTTTTATTATACTATAAAATAAGGAGCTTTGAACATTTTTATAGAATTATACTTATTTAATTTAAATTTAAGTTAATTAATAAAAAAAAATACCTGCAATATATAATACACACCATTTTATAATTAATAGTTTAAATAGGTAATCAAAATGTAGGTATTATATCTACTTGCAAGTACCTACTCAATTAACTGATTATTATTTTTTTTTTATGTTATGTATATTTCCACGGTTAGTTTAATTTCTTAATTGTAAAATTATAATTTTTAGTTTTTACCTTGAAAACATTATACATTGCTTTATAAATTAAGATTATTTAATTTTATTACATAGATATTAGATATATACATTTCTGTGATTTAATTTTCATTAATTTGTTTCCATGTTACCTATTGTTGTTTGAGTTATGTTAAATTTTAATTATTTTTATTTTAATACTTGTAAAGTAGGATTTTTTTTATGTAATATATTGTACCTTACAATATTGCTGATGAGATATTTAATTATTAATTAATAATGTTAATCACTAATCATATATGATTTGTACCTTCCTAAGTGTTTCATAGTTATTCATTCAAGAAATTGTAAATATTTTGCATGAATATCAAAAACCAAAGTTATGTTGAGTTTTTTAGGTACCTATATCAAATTGCTATTAACCATTAGGTAGATAATTAAACATCTTAAAACATTATAATTAGGCTTAAAATGTTGTACACAATTTATAAAAATAGATAAATAGGCATGTATTACATAATTTTTAAGCTCTTCCTAATTTTCAAACTTTAAATAAAAACAGTTTTGCAATACTTATATACTTAGTTATATAAACATTAGGTATAAAATGTATTTATTTTTAATGTGTACTTTATTTATAACATTGAATTTGTTTTAATAATTAAATATTTTTAAACAATCTAAATAATTATGTATGATTATAATTGATGGTTATTATTATTAAGCCAACCTACCTGAATACATATACCATATATTTAAAATTAGTTTTATAAATTATCATAGGTACCTATAATCAATTATCAAACATGTATAAATATAGATGAGCAAGAATGTAAGACAATCAGTTAATACTTATAATAGGTAGCTTAGTAAATCATTAATCACTATTAATATTATTAATATTATTATATATATAATATATATATATTATTATTATTATTTATCACTATTATTAGTCAGTCTATTGAATAAAAATTGATTTTAATTTTATAACTAAAATTACAAGATTAATTTACATATCTATAATAAAAATATATTATGTATTTATGTAGATATCTTAGAAAATACCTTCCTATTATTTATGAATTTTATAGAATGGGGGTATAATCATACACATACCTACTTGTTAAAATCACAAATATATTATTAAAATGATTTTAGGTATAAAAATTACTGTAAATTTACTTATAAACAGGATGATTTACTAAGCATACACGCCTCCCTATTTTCTCTTTTAAAAATGCATTTTTAAAATTTTTAGTTCTATAATTGTAAAAAATACAGAAAGACTAAATTATTAAATATTTAAAAAAACAGTAAGTATTTGAATAAATTCATATTAAAAGGTAAAAATGGGATAAAGCGTAATTTTAGTGAATCATCTTAGAGGTACATTAAATAATATACATAATAAATAAAATATGTAGGTTCCAATTATACCATTCTCTATTTTAAGTAGTATGTAAAATTCAAAATAATATATCATTAATCTTTAAAAAAATTTGAAAATAAAAAATAATACGCAAATAAAAACAATCATTAACCTACTTATATTATATGTTAATATATCATGATAACCATGAATTATAGTTCGCATATTTTTTGATATAGAAAAACGAAATAAAAGAAACAATATCGATTTAACGTCATAAATAATTATTTTCATTATAGATAAGTGTCATATTCCCTGGCCTATTTAAGGAAGGTACTGGGCGTCTCTCCGTAGGTAGGTACCGTGGAATATTGAATCGACATATTATTTCCGTAACTTAAAATGAATTAAATTAATGTATTGTAAATAGTAATAACTAATAATATATGTTTAATTTTTTTTTCAACATTTATCAATAAATCAATGTACATACAATTTTATACTAAACATATAATCAAAACTCTTATGCCTTTAAATAAATTCAATGACTTCTTAAAAATAATTTTACCTAGGTATAATTTTTCTTTCGTCGACATTATCATATTGTCATCGGATTTTATTATTGTATTCTATACTTGCCTTTTGGCAGTTATCGCACTTTACAGTCAACAATTAACTGAACTGTAAATTGTCTATTCACTATCGTACATAAATAAAGGTATACATATTTTAACTTTCGTGATAATATAAGTAGTTTTAAATTGTAATTTGTTTAATTCAATATGATGAATATGAATTTTAAAATATTAGACTCTAATTAACAAAGCAAATCATATATTGGACTTATAAAAAAATGTTTTTGTTTTAATTTTTTATTTTTATTGTTCCAAGAAAACCGAATACAAATTTTTAATTATTGTAAAACTTTAACATTATACACAGAGAGTTTAATAAGTTAAAAATATGGTTTGTTATATTTATTATTATGTTTTTATTTCATTTTATTAATTTTTAGGATTTTGATATTAATGGTTATCGCAAATATTACATTATATAAAACTTTTGGGCCTCTTAAAAGCCTAAGATTCTGAACTCTGAGTTGAAAAAAAACGTTATAAGCTCTGTACAAATGTATTGATATGCACATACTTGTAAATATACTTGTGAATATTTTGAAAAATGGTTCAAATTGTATGTATTGATAAGGAAAACAATTTTCGAAACAGTTTAAGTTTCTATAACTCATCCAATTCATCTTAATACTCGCTAATCGTTAATATTTTAAAAAACAATGGTCCTAAAACTATGTTATATTGTAATAAATACCATAACCCTAAAATAGAGAGATAGTTAACATTTTTTTTTTCAATAAAATATAGTTTTTAGGTTACTGTTTTTTTTTTTTTAATCCGAACGGTTATCAAGTATTCAAATGCTAAAATGACCGGAACAGGTTATGGTAAGCAAATACTTATTGCTAAGAGAAAAAAACCTTCACGTTTAAAATAAAAAGGGATTAGAGGAATTAAATAAAGGACCCCGCAGTTTAAATATACACATGGATAAATTCTAGCGTCGATCTTACACTCCTGCTTACTCCACTCTTATACAATTATTATACTTCTTTTATACGACTGAATGACAAGGAGTTTTGCATAGGCAATTAAATATACACTATAATATTTACAGTGATTTTGTAATCTTTTTAGTTTATTATAACTTATGAAATGATCTTGAGATTAAGATTTGGGTACTAAATTATTGATCCATATTTTAAAATTTATCGGATAAGGAAAAAATATAAAATACGCAAGCATGTGAAATTGTAAAATTCCAAAAAATATTTTAGAAAGATGCCAAACTAGTGAATACGTTTTAAATACCCAATAAGCATAATATAATTAGAAAAATAATTTACACTTACAACTAAATAACTTAGCATATCTACAACTTTCGATTTTCTATTATTAGTTATTACTTTAAAGACTTTATGTACTTTTTTTTTTCATTTACCAATTGTCATTATTAATTTCTCATTAAGTTGTAATTTGAAATTTAATTTAATTTTGGTATGCATATGCTTATATTACTTCATATTGATAAATTCATTGTAATCCTTTGAAAAGTTATTCAATGACGAATTAAAAAGTATCAAAAATACATAGTTACGATAATTTTTTACAATCGTTAATGTTAAAATTTTGTCTTTTTCATCAAAATCGCGAAAATTTGCAAATTATTTTGTGGTTAAAAATTCACAAATTTTGTGACATTCATACCAAAAATTTAAATATTAAATATAAGATTTATTATACATAAAAAAAAAAAATGTATAACAAGTTAATATAGTGTCACCACTGGGTAACTTTTTTTATCATGCTACTCATGTAAAAATAAATAAATTCTACTATCACATATTCTTATTGTTCCTTTGGAAACAGTTATATAAATCTTTAAAAAAATTTCTCATACGTTGTTGTAATAGAAATTATGAAATAATGTTGGACTAATTATACAAATATTTTTTATTTGCAACTGAAATTTAAAAATTTAATAAAATTTAATATTCTTACGTACATTTTTTCTTAATTTGTTGTATTTCCAAAACGAATCAAAGCCGCCCAGGTGCAATTTTTATTGAATACCTCTTATCAATAAATAGCTATTAACAAAATAATATTATATTTCATGTATAACATCGTATAAATATGTGAAAGATGCCGGCTGAAACCAAAAATTCTTTTTACATCTAAGTTAATCCAGCACTAATCGTAAAAATACAATTTTCACCATGTAGGAACATCATTATATTTTATTTATTCAATGATTATATTAAAAGATTTAGAAAAATCGTATTGTATTTCCTATTTATACCACAAATCTATTCACTCTATCACACTATTTTTTGATAAGTAAGTATTGATTCCAGGATTGGAAAATAAAAGTTTTTTTAAATAATACAAAACAAGCAATTCATTCGTTTAAAATGTTGTTTTTTTATTTTTTTAAAAATTTTTTCGGTATGTTTTAAAAAAATTGTAAAACAGCGTAAATCTGCGCCCAAAATTTTGTAAGAGAATAAATATTTTAACGGGTTAAAAAACAATAATGGGTATATACTAATTTATTTTTTAAATAATGGTGGTAAAAATTATTTACAGTGTAGACAACAAAAATGTATTACTGGCGATACCGTCATGAGCTGCCGTTTATCGTGTTTAAATTATTCTTTATCACGTAAGCATGTATAACGGTAAACCGTAATGGGAATGCTCAACACAGTCAACACTCCATACAGTCCATACCATAGTCGGCATAGTCTATAGAATTGTAGACCTGTACTGACTATAATATTATATTTTCTCACTTCTGTGGCTTTACTGTATCATCCGTGAAATCCACAGGTAACGGTTCCACTTCCTTTTTTTGTTTGTACACCTCTCGTTGGTAATTCATTTTATTTCCGTCCATCGTTAAAGTTTGCGAATCAACAACAATACATTTCATTATATAATCCACTTTTGTAGTACGTACACGGATAATTTCGATTATCATTTATACATAAAACTTTCGTAATAAACGGCATTCGTTACCCGTCCGTCTAATTTTTTTTATATCAACAGTTTACAGGGTTTAACTAGAAACTAAAAAAAATCAACGTCATGGAATTCCAATTTGATCTGAGCCATATCGCCCAGGATCAGATCATCAAAATCGACAATACACTATTGCCAGTCGGCTATCAAAAAGAGGACCCAGAGTTAGTATATGAATGTACTGTAGTACATTATTAATTATTATTATAATATCTACTACGCGTGTCACACATTGTATTTTAACATTACACATTATTCTAATTAAAGACCCCATAACGATTTTATCAATATTAGCAGAGAATTTGCAACTGTCAGGTACTCCGGTTTGAGTGGTCTTTTATTATTATATTTTACATAAAAATGATAATTCTAATGAGTAATAACAGTCCCAAACTGACCAATAGCTATGCCAGAAGTACAAAGCATGCCGCTAAATAATTGAATTTTTGCACACATAGTTATAATATATTCCTCTGTCATATTTTATTTATTAATGTGTTTTTTCTAATTGCATCTTGTATTGTATTATGCATACAGCCATGATAATGTTTTGTATTTTAAAACTGTTTTACTTAACAGGATTTTCTTTGATACCAACCATTACTTGTACTAATTGTAAATCTTTTGAACATAACATAATAAAGTTTTGCTATGTATAGTCAACTGCATATAAAGCTTTTTTTAACAATATTTATTTATAATTCTTTTTGAGGTACAATATATTATTAATAATTATAAAATATTGTTGGTTAAGTCAATGTATAATATATATATATACACATTAAAAATACGGTTTTTTTTAATTATTATTTATAATTAGTAATTATTAGATAATCAATTAATATTTAATAGTTAGAATTCTGTACAGTTGCAATAATATTATAGGTATAATAAATATACATAATTTATTTTGTCATGCTCAATGCTTAATATGTTTAGGTAGTCTATTATTGTCATAAAATACATTCAAAATGAATAAAATAATAATATATTAATAGTACTTATTAAATTTAAGGGTTATTCCAATTTTGATTGCACATATAATATGGTGATTAGCTATTTATTATTTATAAATACTCTAAGAAATAAAATTAGGTTTAATAATGCACTAAATAAAATATAAATTATTTTAATAGGTTGAAAATGATTATTTCTAATATTTTGGATAAAATGGGGCAAGCTTCAGGAATTGCTCAAGAGTTAAAATCTCCAATTACTTCAGCTGAAAAACTCATGCGTTCAGATCATATTCTATATTTAATGACAGAACAAACTTCACCAGGGTAATTGAATTAATGTCAATGAAAATTAATAACTGTTGAACTTAAAAACATGTGTTAATTAATTTTATTACAGACATTTTGTTGTGGTTGGTTTGTTAAAAATGGGATGGAAGAAGTTGTATTTATTTAATAAAAAAGGTTTAAGAACTGAAGCAATGGTCTTCTGTTTACTTGATTTTTATATTCATGAAACTAGACAACGTCATGGATATGGAATAAAACTTATGGATTACATGTTAAAAGTAATAAAACTTAAAAAATTTTATACATTCCAATGTACTTATATATTTTTAAACTCTATTAGGATAATCAAATTCAAGCAAGTCAGTTAGCTGTTGATCAACCTACAAATAAACTTTTACAATTCTTATGGAAATATTTTAACTTATCCAAATTAGTTAATCAAGGAAATAATTTTGTAATTTTTGAAGAATTTTTTGAAAGTAATGGTGTTTTTTATATTTTTATATTTGTAAAAATAAATTTATTTATATTTGTTTTTATTAATTTAGACTCATCTGATAAGGAATCTGTTAGTGATCGGTAAGTTCGAAGTTATTTTTATACAAATATATGTATTATATATACTTCAATATTTTTTTATAGCTCAAGTGGATATAAAAGTCAACCAACATTCGGACGTCATGGTGCTGCTAGGCAACAAGATTGCATGGCAAATGTATGTATTCAACTTAATTCTTAATTTATTTAATTTTTAATTATTATACATTATAGATATTGTATGGAGCAAAACCATCAGAAACTCAAAATGGAAATTCAAATGAAAATGTGGACAGGTAAAAAATATTTAAATAACATTATTATAAATATTGTATAAATTATACTTTTTTATTTTATCTAGAGTTGAATATCAACAACGAGATAGTAAACAGCATAAAGAAGAACATCATGTTGAAGTGCAACATCATGTTGTGGATGAAGGAGATGGACATAAGTCAAACCATACTCATCCAAAATTAGATCTCAAGAATTTTCACACTCAATTATGGTAATCAGTTAAACTTTGCCTTTTCTAACAGGTGGTAGCTTATTATTTGTTACATATTTATTACTGTATTCTATTAACTCTTGTTAATATATACTAATCTTAAATATGACTGCAATTATAAGGTAGAATTAAAAAAAGAATGAAATTTATATAAAAAAAAATTGCACTAATAGTCATTCACTTTTAAATACTAATTTGATAGTCATAACATTTGATCCCCAACCTACTACCCACTTAAAAACTAATGTTTGGTATACAAACAATAACAAATATTTTTTATATTATTCCTCAAACTTTTGGTTGGTTATTAGTCAATAAGAATAATCACTAATTAATTTATATTTTTATAATTTTTTTTAACCATTTTATTATTTAACTTTTGTAACACATATTCTATAATATGTAATATTAACACTTTAAAATTGTTGAGTGAATTTTTTTGTTGTGAAAAACTAATTGAAGATTTGTATACATTTATGTTGGCTGTCTTTTATCATTACTCAATGTCAGGTCATTGTATTGAGAATTTATTTCACTTTTAAAAGCTGAAAATATATTTTCTATAGAATAATAGTAATGTTTTTGTATGTTGAATAATGAATTAAAACTGACAGAATTTATTTAAAAAATTAACTATTAATCATAATTCTGATATTATTAATATTGTTATGAGATTTTTTTCTTTGCATTAATACAATTATAGAATGAATTGTATTTTCTATAATTATGTTCCTAGACAATGTTTATTATTATTATTATTATTTTTTTTTTTTTTTTTTGCAACAATCATATTGACCAATTTGTTTACATTGATGTTCTAATAAATAGTTACTAAATTATTTTTAAGACCTTGATCTAATTAATTTCTTATGTATCTAATAAAGTTAAATATATTATAATTTTTCTAATAAAAATTGTATTTTATTGTATAATGTATTTCTACTTAAATCATAGAAGATGTTAGTAAATATGAAGAAATTATGATTATCACTTATTACTATCTAATTAATTATAGTAACTGTATTGACAATTTAATAATAATTTTTAATTTTTTAATTTGATTAAAATTTTATTGAAAAAGTTTTAGTTTTTTGAAGGTAGAAAACTTTAATTTTTGTATCTTATATGGACTACGTAATTAATTTATGTTGATTATTGTTTTTTATTTGTTTTTGTTAGCTTGAAATGTAATTATTAGTAGAGAATATAAATTTTACTGTAAGACATGTTATCAAAAGACAATTGAAAAATTCCACTGAAGTAGATGTATACTGGTGAAATGCAAATTCATTTTACGCTTTTGTACCTTAGCAGTGGGATAAAAGTACAAAAATAAATACTGTACCCATTTTCATTTTAAAATGATTAAATTATTCATTTTTATTAAATATATAGTATTTTTATCATTCAAAAATACATCCACAGTGATCTAGTTCAGTTGAAGTTTAGTATTATTGCGTCGTATTTTATCGCCATGAATTACAGTGAAAGTTGATAAATATTTAAGATAACTAACTATACAATATATACAGTATAAACTTAATTCTAACTTATAAACACTATTTTTGTAAAATTTATTAGTGCTTATGGTTTGTTAAAAAGGTATTTTTTTTTTTTTGTGCTTTTGGGTCATATTTTACGCTTATGGGCTACAGCCTCATACACAGGTTACTATAATTGCTTTTGTAAACAGAACCGTAATTTTTTTTTTAAAAGCAATAATACATTTTTGAGTTTAATTAAATGATTTTGAACAAACTTTAGTAATTTCAGTGTTTACATGACATTATATGTAACTAATATTCATACAAATTATTACAGGATAGCTAATATAAGAATAATTCATTTTGTATTCAATTTTTAATTTTTGAAATTTAAATTGCAATGATAGAACAAGATATAAACATAAAAACAAACACTTGTGCATTTTTATCTGAAAAGATTATAATTTTAATTTTCTCAATAAAATAGATAAAGTATCTTCACTGTTTGTTATAGCAATAGAAACTATTCTGGTAAACAGTTGATATTAATTATTTAAATTATGTAATATTTACATATTTATGTCATAATTTCCTTTAAATAATGTTAAAATAAATGTTGTGCCTAGGTCTTAAAATTATTACATAGTCAACTATACACAATACAGTCTATATAAATAACACATTATATTTTATGTAATGTATACACATATTCATTAATACTTTCAAATTATAAATATAAAATCTTTATGATTACATATACATAAATTCTTTACATAGTGGTTTAATTTTTATAATTGACACATGGCTTACTATTATTTAATATGAATAATTTTGGTTCTAAGTGTTACTTTTGCGAATTATTATTTAATTTTAGTTATTTATATGCTGGGAATTGTTATCAAACGACAACACTCTAAAAGGTTTATTTTTGTAAAGAATAATATAATTTTTAAGCTAAATAAACCTGTAATATTTTAGCATTCAAAAATATTAACATGGTGGAAATTAAAAAAAATATTATTTAAAATTAATTACTGCTAGGTACTAATAATGCAGAATACAAAATAAAATCAGCAAGAAAAAAACCAAGGATCTATATTCATATTATTATCATAATTATGCCACTATGTCAGATTGTTATTATTTGTATAATTATAATTTAATTTTTAGTTAAAGTATTCATAATAACATCATTAATCTTTGGCATCTACAATAATACATATAAATATGAGTAATTACTTACATAGTTACATAATACAAATAAAGACACTATTGATTTATCAGAAATGATTCATATTCAATTAATGTGTAAATAATGATTTGCACTTAACTTCTTTGATAAAAATACAAACACACAGGAATGTAGGCACAAGAAGGTAGTCTAGTTATAATAACTCAAATTTTTTTGACATTTTTAAATCATGATATTTTCAATATTATTTTCCATTATATACATAAATAAATAGATTCATTAATAATTTGATAATAAAAATTGAGTTCATACAATTAATTATTATTTACATTAATAAGCATGTTTCACAATTATATGATAAATATACATATTTAGCTTTTGTTATTGTGTAAATTTATGTTTCAATGGGCTTATATATTTGTGTTTTAATGTTTTTTATAGTATAAGAATTAAGAATACATCTAGTTAAATCAATTAATACACCATCAAAAGATTTTTTTTGAATATGAATAATAAAAATTTTGCGTTTTAAACAGAATTTTTTTTTGAAATTGATTTTATGTGATGATGCATTTTTACTTTTGTATTATAAATTATCATATAGTCATTTTTTTATAAATTTTATTTTAGCAAAAATCTTTTTTTACAGATAGAATACTTTGTGAATGTAGATCCATCACAATAATTCAGAAATATTAAAACAATTGCATAGATATAGTTTATTATTATTATATTCAACATATACTTTTTAATAAATATTCAACAGCCTTTCAGTCTATTAATAATGTACAATATACTTCTTGATTTTACATATTATAATTATATTTTTTATTATTAATAAATGTTAAATTAAAATTTATACATGATATTCTCCACCCTCTAATTTATCATCTGACACATATGAAACCACATACTCGGCTGTGCTTTGGTCGATCCAAATCACAGATACTACTAATGATATAAAATATCCTAATATACTACCAGCAATAACATCTAATAAATGATGACGTCTTAAAAGTATTCGACTAAAAGACACAGCTACTGCCCAAACAAATAAAAATAATACCATAAACTCATTTAAAGGATACAATTTAAAAAAATAAAACAATATAAAAAATGCTCTTGATACATGTCCTGACGGAAAAGAGTAGACATCAGGGCCAATTGTAACCCATTGATCATTCTTGTTGCCTACAGGTCGACGGCGACGAACAAATGCTTTTATAGTAGCAACCGCAATAATATCAATAAATAATCCTAAATATATAAAAAAAAATATATATATAATTTTTCTATTTTCCATTGTAATTTGTATAATAAATTCATATAATAGACAATAACAATATTCATGTATTATTTTAAAAAATAAGCTTCAATGTAAAAAGTGTGTGTGTTTTAAGATAATGGAATTTTTTTTCTAATAAAATAATACAAAATAACTTATATTTAAAAATTTGAAATTTGAAATTTCAATTTTTCATCTTGCAAATTTAAACAATTTCAATATAATTATTTATACAACTAACAACTAGTTGTATCTATCCGATTGATTTGTTACTATGGTTACTAATATCATTATTTTTGATTTATTGTTTGAATTGATTACTCAAAAACAAAAAATACAATTAACTAATGGTAGAAACTGAGATTAATTAAAAATGAATTGAAAAGACAAAAAGTTTAAAATGTAGTATAAATTTAAACAAAATAGTATTAAAAATCACTGAAATATGAATTTTAAAAATATCTTATAAAGTTATAAAGAATTTTAGATTTATAATTTATTTAGATTTCTATACAGATGTTCACAATTTTTCTAAATTTCTTTAAATGATTAATAGGACTATAAAAAATGTAATGAAAATACTTTCAAAAATAAATATATGTCTAAAAAATGATTTTATAACAAGAATACATTAAAGGTGTTCTAATGATATGCACTTAACTTCCTGTAAGATTTTTGACAACCTTTATTTTTTCATTCTTCTAGTTCCAGAGCATACAAGAAGAATGCTCAACATTATCAGAAATTAGTAATAAGTTTTTTCCTTGGGAGAATTTTACATTCGTTTGTATTGTCTTCATCATATAAACATGTAACAGCAAATATACTTTCACTAGAACCGATATTATATCGTTATTTTTAATTTTAGAGCAAATTGACCTATTATCAAACTTAAAGGTTAGAACATTATCTATTATCTCTTTCAAGGTTTTTACAATATTTTAATTTTTAAACAAGTTATGAGTATATATAATATAAAAATATAAAAATGCTTATAACTTGTTTAAAAATTAAAATATTATAAAAACCCTGCTAGAAATAACAGATAATGTTCATATGTTAAAATTTGGTAATAAGTTAATTTGCTCTAAAATTAAAATTAACAACACAACATTAGTTTTACCAGAAGCAAATTTATCATGTTGTACATTTGTAAGACAGAGACATCGCATGCAAGTGTAGCTTTCTCTTACAAAATTGTATAGTAGTTTTAAACTACTATTTTGCTATAATTAAATAACTAAATAAAATACTTTTAAATACATAGTAAATAGAAACAAATGAATTCTTATATAAAAGTTACTTTCAATTGATTATATACTAATCTCATGGTATACAGTAATTATTGACAAATTCATAGTGTTTTAATGGGTATGTAAGAAATACTGTTAAATGCAGAGCACACACAACAATAAATAAGAATAGGTACCTATTTAAAATCTAGTTTAAAATATTAAATTAACTTACCAATAAGAAAATTGACTTGCATTTGAAACAAAGATTTTGACCAAGCAAACCAAATGAAAGTCAACCAACAGGCAATCCATAAAATGCCGTGGCACGAATACTTAAATTCAACATAATCATAAATATTAATAATTTTGATTCAATTAAAATACATGCTTCAAATTTTTTAAGCACTTTACCTCTAATCCTTTGTAATAAGTGGTAAAACTGCGAACAGACAAAAACCTGGAAACTGTGTTGCAGATGACTGAAGTAAGTTTTGAGTCAATGTCCAAAATACTTTTCATGGGCGTCGGTACATTTCTTTTTTGAGGCATTTTAATTCCTTTTTTAAACAGAATTTAGAGAAGTTATGAAGAACTGAATACCGACTAGTCTGACTAGGATGACTAGATGACTACAATAAATATATAAGCAATCGTTTTTTTATTAACTGATAACAATGATTACGTTTAGGAATACTTATGATAATTTTTATATTTTATTTTTACACACAACATAATCATACTTATCAGTTATCATACAATTAATCTCAATTGGATTTTTTTCCAAGTATTATTATAGTACTATAGTAATAATTAGTAATTATTATTCTGCATTTCTATAGTATTGAAGTAAATACTGATAAAAATGAAGTGCGTATAAAACTTTAATATATAAATAATAATATAATATATTATTACTATTGTCTTACTTCGAGCAAACATAATATGTTGTCCGGCGAATAGCATAGGCAAAATAAGTACATTACTGCCTTGTTTGATGTTGACGATAATTATTATACATATTTTTAACTCATTGCAAAATTAATTTACAACAAATGTTTGTAAATATCTATGGTCGGTATTAACCAAAATTCATCAACCTCCACTGCAAACACCCTAATTCTCACTCTTTAGTACCAGTTATATACTTGTGTGTAAGAAGTAACCACATTTTCTTGGCGAATAGAATATAAGTATGGCGCGTATAGTTACATTCATTTTTTTATTGAGACCTAGATAGTTTTAACATTTCTTTAGAATTTCATCCTTAATTGTCGTTGTCACATATGTTTATTTACTTTTCAAACAATGATATCACTAAAATATATTACAAAAAATGTTTAAATGTTATTTTTGTCATTAACATTTAAGTTGTTTTGTTTAAATAAAAGTGCCAACATTTAAGCAGGCCAATTTTTTTTTTTTATCATCTGGGCAATAATAATACGGACACTAATTTAGCTTTTAGAAGTTGGTACTAAGTAATTAAAACATTACCCACTATTGGTTGCTACAACGTAGATAAAAACCTAATAAATTTTAAATTTCTAAATTCTAAGTAGTAAATAATTGAATTGTTTAAAGTAATACGGATCGCTTAAGACAGTATAAACTCAAATGCAGATCACACCGACTTACTTCTTGGTGATTAATTATAACTCATAAATGTAAGTTACTAAACAATGTTTATTATTAGAAATTTTCTAATCGTAGACAAGAGCCAACTCTTTGGATTTTTTTTGAATACGGAACACCGAATACCGATAAAGAAAATCACCGATACCGGTTGCCGCCGCATATTCATATTATATTTATAATTTTTATAAATTTTTATTAGAATTTAAAATTTAAATATTAAATATAGTAATACATTAATATGGGTTTGTAAATATGTAATATATATATTTATTATATATATAATATAACTGAGTGTATACGAATATGTTTATAAATGTGATATATATATTTAATAACAATAATAACAGATATAATAAACTTCAAACAAACAAAAAACTATATAGCAAAAAATTAAATAAATAATAGGTAGCATAAATTATGTTACATAATATTATGATGAAATATCAGAAACTAGGTATTATAATGTGGTCTTCTATGTTTTCCCTATTCCGCAATCCCTAATACACAGGTACAAAACACTAATATTCTTTTGTAATTTGTATATTAAATCCTATTTAATAATATGTCGTATATACCGATAAGTAGATTTAATTTTTTTATCATAAAATGAATTAACTATATAAATTATTTTTATAATGTCAATTACATGAGATTATTATGGAAATGTAACTGTGGAGGACCTCCAATTGGTGACCGTAGTGGAATGTCATCACTCTTTCTGTGCACCATTTGTCGACCTGACCAAGCTCGAGTCGGGCTTGGTGAGTTGCGACAAGTTCTCGGTAATGTTTCAATTGATCGAATTGGACTTTGTATATTTAGAACGCTTCTAGGCAATGCTTCTACCGACAAACTAAGTGCTCCGACACCACTAGTTCGACCTTGCATTCTCATCATTTTTCGTTTCTGTATAGAATATTAGATATAAAAATTATTAATTACTTACAGACATACACATATATATTTTAATTTTACTAAATTTAACCGTCAAGTATAATAATTTACACTAACTTGAACTATAGCCCTCCACGTTTGTCCATAGTTACGAGCTAACTGTAATCGATTCTGTTTACGTACATGATGTTTTTTGTAGCCTATCTCAATAACGATTAAAAACATTCCAACCACTATACCCACAGCGACGAGTATAAATACACCAGCCATATTTTTCAATCCTAAAGTATTAGGTGTTTTTTCTTGATCTTCACATTGTTCTACTCTCCCTTGAAATATCCATTTATCGTCCAAGCTTTCCATGAAACCACCTGATTCAAAAATATCGATGTTTAAAATTTACCTACCTCGCAGCGTGTATACATATTATATATATTATATATATTATATATAATAGTATGTATATATATACATACTTTCATGGAAGTCTAAAATCGATAATGTAACTGATTCAGACCAAGGTGAACCTTTTTGTAGACCAACTCCATACCCAGAACGTCCAAATAATTCGCCAGCCGTAACCAATTGACAATCTTGCGCAGCTTCGAATTCCAAACGGCTGCTATCCCATATAAATGCCATAAGCTTACTGAAAATAATTTTAAACGTCAATAAACATTTATGATCTTTATTTATATCCTGATCGTACTCATTCTTCACGTCTCGAATTGCATCTTCAGCAGTTTCGTAATTGTTGGCTTCCATTGTTCTATACATGTTTGACAGTTCCACTTGTCGTCTAAAATACATATCAACTGCGGATCCCTTTACTGTGGCACAAGTTAAATTTTCCATTGTACTACGGAGCTATTATAGAATAAATAAATAACTATGTATAAGTAGTTGATAAATTTTTCTATTAGACTATTATTATAAAATATTTTCTTCCTACCCTAGCATCATTAATTCCAGACAGTTTAGTCTTCGGTCTTTCGAGCACGAGAAAAGCGGCCAAGTTAGCAGTGTATGATGCAACAATAATCATGGCAAATCCAGCCCATACCATTCCTAATACTCTAGCTGAGAAACTTCTTGGTGTTCCTTCGCCAATGCCACTGTTTAACAATACTCCCCACGCGAACCATGTAGCACTTGATAAATTAAGTGCATCCTCCTCGGTACCATCAGCATTAATTAACTTAAATCTAGCAAAAGGAGAAAACCTGTCAAGTAGATATAAGACAAGTGCAACCACATGAACAGAACCCATAACAAGCACCCAAAGCGTGTGGCTGAAAGGTTGCAAAAACGATACAAGTGTTGAAGATCGTGATGGCTAAAACATATAGAAAAACGAAAAATTATATATTTAGTAACTGGGTTACGCAAAAACATTGTGGTGAATTTTAATCGTTAAGATATTTTTCTTTTAAAATATATAAAAAGCTTCTTTTTTTATTTAAATATTTTATCAAAATAATAAAGAAAAAATAACTGTTATAAATAGTGTGTTTTTCATTGTACCCAATATTTGAGATAAATAATTTACCTTTTTCTCTAAAATAGTAATTCCTTGGTACTTGAATGGTTTACTGAACTCTATAAATTCTGCTCTTTCTGGATTAATGGTAAGAGGAGCTAATATCATATCTGCTCTTTCATAAACTAATTCACCAATCAAACCATTCCATTCTTTTTTTCCACTAGCTAAAGTTTTTTTATCACAATTATAATGTATAATTTAATCTTAGACGTTTTTATATTTTAAGGAAGTACTAACCTGAGTTGTTTCTTATTTCATAGTTTCCAAATTGTCCATCTGGCGATAATGATAAACTGTATGTAAAATTTATAGTTTTAGAAAGTTCCACAAGCAAATCAATGCAATATCCTTTACAACAATATACTATTGGTTCTAAAATTAAAATAAGCAAATATGAATTTTTAACCAAATTGTATTAATTGTTTTAAGTAAAATAGTTTACCTTTAGATGAAGTATTATACAATGGACACATTATTTCATCTGTCTTACAACTATTTCCATCATCCTTCTTTAACGGTCTTACATACACAAATGGTTTTTCTTCTATTGTTAATACTTTTAAATGTGTAGGGATCATAAAACCTTCAGGTTTCTTCTTTAAACGTCCTGGCCATATAATGTTAGATTCATTAAGCCGTAGTTTCATCTTATTAAGCTCCTAAAATCAATTTTCTTTTTAGAATCGTCAATATTATTATTTTACCATTAGAAAAATCATTATTATTTATTTATTTACATTATTAAAATAATATTTCCCAATAGCATCCTTATTGGCCACTTGTTTGACATTGACTATATCATACTCAGCATATATTCGATCGCCGTTATTATCGAAAGCTACTTTACCCGTGTGTCCATCTTTATATACTTGTTTCTTTATATATCTAAAGAAATATTAATAATTAAATTTCATTCTAAATAAACCAATTGTAATAGTTAGCAAAAATTACTCGAAAAGTGTTTTGCCTGTATCCCAAATAGCACCAGAGTTATCGCAATCAGCCGGCGGTGGTGTTATAGTTTTTGTACGGTTCATATCCGTAATCGCTGAAGCCAATATATATCTGCAGTATACAAAATCAAAATAAATACATCAAATTTGTATTTTTTTAATGCACATAAAAAACCACTCCATTTTACAAGAAAAAATGTATATGCGTACATGCTATCGTATATATGAGCTAATTCGTTAGAGGCGTTAACTAATTTCAATCCGATTGTTCCTTCCGGTACATTATTAGCGTCTAAAGCTTGCTCCGTTACAATCCACACATATCCAGCCTCGGTCATGTTTCGATTTGCCGCGTCTCTGAAAATGATTTCTGCATCTAATTTGCTTGCGTACATCAAATACACCCTAGCTTGTGCATTCTTCATTTCGTTTAGTTGGTTGTTAAAATGTAACAGGCCTGGTTCAAATTCGATAACTGCCTCCACCTAGAATATTCGAAAATAAAGCACTTAGCCACTTTGGTACATGCTACGTATTTTATATGATATAATTTATTAAATGATTAAAATATCGAAGTTATACTTTTTAAAAGGACACTGTTATATCACTAAATTACATATTATTAGAAAAATATAAATTTTC